TTCCTTGTGGCAGATGTAACTACCGGTATTATTGGCATGGATCTCATGCAACACTATCAGCTACTGGTTGATACTGGCAAACACAAGCTGATCGATTCAGCTACAAGCCTTTCGATCTCCGGTGTTGTGACACACACACCTGCATTAAGCCCAGTATACTCAACCCCTGCCTCTAACGGCCCTTACGCTGAAGTTCTTCAGTCCTTTGCCAATCTGTTCAAACCGGTTTCTAAACTTCCTTGTGTGACTTCTACTGTCACTCATCATATCGTGACCACTGGTCCACCGGTCTTCGCTAAGCCACGGCGATTGTCCCCAGAAAAACTACAAGCCGTGAAGGCTGAATTCGAACATATGTTAGATCGATTAGACCCTTTGATGTACAGCTAACCCGAGCTAACAACATGACTACGGACCTGATCTATTTTCTCTTTTCCTTCCCACCAGGTCGGAACACCTTAGAGGACATAGCAGGAGAGTTCAAAAGCAAAGAAGAAATCATATTGCTGTTGAGTACTGGTTCTCACACCGAGTCATAAACTCTTGGAACCGACTCCCAGAAGAAGTGGTGTCTGCAACCTCAGTTGATTCGTTCAAGAAGGGTTTGGACAACCACAGAAATTTACTAGAAAAGGATTAACATAGGCTCCAAGCCTTCTATCCTCAACCAATAAATCTGAATCTGAAATCTGAAGTGTTGTGAAGATGCATACACACCGTCTACTCAACCTGTCACAGTATCAAGTAGGAGAAGGGAACGCCGAGTATCATCAGTGCTAAAGTCTCTTGAAAATGAAGATGGCCTTCTCTCTCAGCCTCGTTTGTCGATGTCACTGCCTCCATCCTTGAAATCTCTGCTTGTAGATGATTGGGATTTGATTACTCGTCAGGCTCGGCTTTATGAACTGCCTGCCTCCCAGCCAATATGTAATGTTTTATCAGACTTCTTAGAAGCTTCTTAGGCTGAAATTGTTGCCGAAATTCAGCATCTTTTCAATCTTACTATTGGGTCTCATCTTTTATACGAATTCGAACGATTACAATATGCTGAGCTACTGAAACATCATACAGATAAGAGAATGTCAGACATTTATGGTTCGATTCAGTTGCTGAGGTTGTTTGTTAAACTCCGAGATATGGTTTCATACCTCCGAGTCGATGATCATAGTCTCCCTATGCTAGAAGCTTCAGTTGCTGAGTTTTTGCAGTCGTCTATTTCTGTGCGCTACCGTCCATCTGCATACGCGACAACTCCGCCTCCGTCTCCTTCATTGTTTGCTTTATGCGAAAAATGGGCAAGCACAGAAATCACTTTTTCCCTAGGTGCAATAGTTACCAGTAATAGAGAAGTTTTTGGATCCAGTTGGTTGAATATTCTATCGATTGCATCTGGATTGATTCATGAAACAGCTGAAGAAGTTGGTTGGTCTTCGCCTAGTCGAATTCCAATAATCGCTGTATCTGAGGCATGCGGACAGCTTTCAATCATGTTTCCGATAACCAGATGTAATTATGGATGTCAATATGTTGAGAAAAAAGTAAATTTCGTTCTAGTCGACGAAACTGATATCACTTTGTCGGAGTTGGCATACATCAGAACATGACATTCTCATGTATGCCAACTCCGACAAAGTGATATCAGTTTCGTCGATTAGAACAAAATTTACTTTTTTCTCAACATATTGACATCCATAATTACATCTGGTTATCGGAAACATGATTGAAAGCTGTCCGCATGCCTCAGATACAGCGATTATTGGAATTCGACTAGGCGAAGACCAACCAACTTCTTCAGCTGTTTCATGAATCAATCCAGATGCAATCGATAGAATATTCAACCAACTGGATCCACAAACTTCTCTATTACTGGTAACTATTGCACCTAGGGAAAAAGTGATTTCTGTGCTTGCCCATTTTTCGCATAAAGCAAACAATGAAGGAGACGGAGGCGGAGTTGTCGCGTATGCAGATGGACGGTAGCGCACAGAAATAGACGACTGCAAAAACTCAGCAACTGAAGCTTCTAGCATAGGGAGACTATGATCATCGACTCGGAGGTATGAAACCATATCTCGGAGTTTAACAAACAACCTCAGCAACTGAATCGAACCATAAATGTCTGACATTCTCTTATCTGTATGATGTTTCAGTAGCTCAGCATATTGTAATCGTTCGAATTCGTATAAAAGATGAGACCCAATAGTAAGATTGAAAAGATGCTGAATTTCGGCAACAAATTCACGCCGTACACCCGGGTATATTGGCAACTTAGTAGTATCTACCTGAGAGTTCTCCGGTTCAGAAGAAGTGCAGTCTTTTATTTCACAAGTTGATTCTGACTTAATAATTTCAGCCTCAGAAGCTTCTAAGAAGTCTGATAAAACATTACATATTGGCTGGGAGGCAGGCAGTTCATAAAGCCGAGCCTGACGAGTAATCAAATCCCAATCATCTACAAGTAGAGATTTCAAGGATGGAGGCAGTGACATCGACAAACGAGGCTGAGAGAGAAGGCCATCTTCATTTTCAAGAGACTTTAGCACTGATGATACTCGGCGTTCCCTTCTCCTACTTGATACTGTGACAGGTTGAGTAGACGGTGTGTATGCATCTTAACAACACTTCAGATTTCAGATTCAGATTTATTGGTTGAGGATAGAAGGCTTGGAGCCTATGTTAATCCTTTTCTAGTAAATTTCTGTGGTTGTCCAAACCCTTCTTGAACGAATCAACTGAGGTTGTAGACACCACTTCTTCTGGGAGTCGGTTCCAAGAGTTTATGACTCGGTGTGAGAACCAGTACTCAACAGCAATATGATTTCTTCTTTGCTTTTGAACTCTCCTGCTATGTCCTCTAAGGTGTTCCGACCTGGTGGGAAGGAAAAGAGAAAATAGATCAGGTCCGTAGTCATGTTGTTAGCTCGGGTTAGCTGTACATCAAAGGGTCTAATTGATATAACGATATGTGTGGAACTTAAGTACTGTGGTAGTATGTAGTTTCATATTACTGTGTTTATTAGAAATATCACATATCCAATAAGTAATACTGTTTCACAGTGATATATCTAATAAACAAACTAATATGGAATCTAATTGAAATACTTTAGGAACCTTTAAGTATACTGTACATGATTGATGCAATTGTGTGACGTAAAAGGCCAAGGTTGATAACAACAATTTAGGAACCAAACGCAGTGGTATAGATAGACCTACCTAAACAAACACAAAAAACTTTCACATTGAAACACTTGGACTCCAAACGTCCCACTAAGATTGAATAATATAGAAAATTTAAACGGAAGCACATAGTAGTCTACTTACCTATAATTTTGGTATTTCGTCACCCACACAATGTCACCAGTATATTATGAATTTCGCCCAACTCTCGGAAACATCGCTAATGCAACTGTGTACACAGTATATTCGTGTGGACACTATTCTGGGAATGCTCTTTTTACCGCATTTCTAAGGCGCTGTGTTAGTATCTCACTGGTGTTTTCTTCTAGGAACTGCATCTGTAGGAACAAGGCCTTTTTTGTAACTGTTGCTAACTTAGGCTGTTTTGGTTTCAGATTCATATTCTTATCAATAAACTTTTCGGGATAACCGTTCTCACTTAGCAACCGTTTAATATTGTTAAGTTCCTCATCAAGACATTCATCCGAGCAAATCTCTCTTGCTCTGTGGACCAAGCACTTTATTAGATTGCGTTTGTATTTCAAGGACACAAAGCTGAGAAAATGTGTGTACTGGCCCGTTGATGTAGGTTTTCTATGAACACTTCTTCTTATTGTGCCGTTCTCCTCTTTATTTCCAGTCATATTTCCACTGTCTTATTCATCTACAGATACGAAGTTTTGGCATCAGTGTGAGTTCAACATGTAAGTTGATAATTCACTCCTTGATTCAAAACTACATATTTGGAAATATTTGTAGACGCTTCTTATTCAAGCAGACTGAATAACTTTCTCAAGCATTATTCATCAGTACTAATTTTTTCTAGTAGCTAGCCAAATGACAACAGTTTTTCATTTGAAACGTATTCATTCCTGGTTCAGTATTATTGGAAAGATATTTATTTTATCAATCTTTAATTGTAACCGAAACCATAGACTGAAGATACTTTAGAAAAGAATAAGTTTAATAGGATTTATGCTTCGGACTGAAGTAAGCACTGAAGATGTTGTCCAGAAGAATAATGGAAGCTTCAAAATTAAAGCGTCTAGGTCACAGAACACAACTACGTGGCAGACATCAACCAGATCTACAAATCTTCTGCATTATTTCAAAAAAATTTAAACTTTAGGTAATGTCGGATAAATTTATTTTGCTGAAATTACCAGAATATCTTCCTTATGAATACAGTAAAAAGGCAACAAAGTATTGAAAACCAAAATCTGGGATAAGTTTAGTCACTATCGTGATCATCTTATTGAAATTCAGATATTATTCCATTTTCATTAGCGGTCTTCGCATTAGCGGTTATTAGGAATAGTACTAGTGAATAGCATTATCTCAGTATTTCATAGTTTGTAGTACAACGGTAACACTTTTGTTTTCTCCTCGAATACTTTTAATTTGCAATAGAAGTAAGGTAGGCACAAAAGATTCAGTAATAAGGAGCATCAGAGATGTGCATTGTAATATTTGAGTTAACTGCACTTTATTGTTCCTCGCTTTACTTTCTTTTGAACCCGAAACGTACAGTTTACTTCTGTGGCAGTCCTTGTAATTACTTGTGAAAGGTAATGTGGATAGTAATCAAGAGATAACGTATTTCATTGCAGAGAATCTATCTTAAAACTGAAACCTGCTGAATTCCACCTTCCTTCATTTCTTACACTGTAAAGCCTTCAAGTGTGTTTCTGAAGAGTGTATGTCAAGGTACAAAAAAATATCATCCTGTGTATGTAACACGTTTTCCTGAGAATAAACTAACATTTTATATTGTGTGAGCTAAGTTGTTGTGCTCATAGACACGAAGTTTGTGTGATTCAAACATTCCAGCGATTTATTCACGATGTTTTGCGCGGATTGGATTGCGCATATGCTTATCTAGACGATATTCTCGTGGCTAGCCCAGATGAAGCTACCCACCGTAACCATTTACAGATGGTATGTGAGCGGTTAACAACCCATGATTTGACACTTAACATGTCTAAATGCCAGATTGGCGTCCATTCATTGACCTTCCTGGGACATGTCATTAATGAACAGGGAATTCGCCCGCTACCTGAGAAGGTGCAGGCAATACGCGACTTCCCGGAACCTACGTCAATGAAATCTTTGCGCACATTTCTGGGCATGGTGAGTTATTACCGACGGTTTGTTCCCCAATGTGCACATATTTTACTGGCACTCACAAACCTACTTAAGAGCAAGAGCCAAACGTTCAGCATGACACCAGAGGCTCGAGAAGCCTTCCAGAATATTAAGTCGGCAATTGCAGACGCCACCATGCTAGTCCACCTAGACGTCCATCTTCCGCTTAGCATCTCAGTTGATGCATCTAACACAGCCATTGGAGCTGTTTTACAGCAACTGGTACATACTTCATGGATACCAGTTGCCTTTTTCTCCCGGAAGTTGTCCGCCGCTGAAGCGAGGTATAGCACCTTTGGCAGAGAACTCCTCGCCATATACGCGGCTATCAAACATTTTCGCCACTTTGTCGAATGTCGGAAATTCACAGTATTTACCGATCACCAGCCCCTGACGTATGCCCTCCACACTACCACAGATAGATATTCACTACGCGAATTGCGTCACTTGGACTACATCTCACAATTCACTTCGGATATTCGACATATTTCGGGGGTTGACAGTGCTGTGGCGGACGCCTTGTCTAGGATATGTACCATGTCGGCGCCGCCAACCATTGACCTGAAACAAATGGCGCAACGTCAGCTTACAGAGTTAGATCTCGATAAGCTCTCGTCAAATACCTCCTTGCATATCAAGCGTATACCGCTTGTTGATAGCGAGGGTACCATCCTCTGTGATCTGTCCACCGGTACCCCGAGACCCATCGTTCCACCTTCATTGCGCCGTACGGTATTCGATAGCCTCCACAACCTTTCCCACCCAGGTATACGGGCAACGGACAAACTAGTGTCAGCTAGATTTGTCTGGCCTGGTATAAATCGCGACGTGCGTATCTGGGCACGTGCCTGTGTGCCGTGTCAACGAGGTAAAGTCCACAAACACAACATCACTCCAGTGGGTTCCTTCTCCACACCTGATGCTCGCTTTAGCCACGTACATCTAGATATAGTGGGTCCTCTACCACCATCAAATGGCCACTGTTACTTGTTGACATGTGTCGACCGGTTCACTCGTTGGCCAGAAGCTATTCCCATCGCTGACACGACCGCGGAAACCATTTGCCGAGTGTTCATGGAACGCTGGGTAGCTCAATTCGGATGCCCATCTACGGTGACTACAGACCGTGGACAGCAGTTTGAATCAACCCACTTCAAGAAGCTCTTAGAGCTGCTGGGGTGCAAACGCATCTGAACAACCGCGTACAATCCAGCAGCAAATGGACTAGTAGAACGTTTTCACCGCCAACTGAAAGCTTCGTTAATGGTTACCGAGAATACTAAGTGGACCGAGTCACTTCCCCTAGTGCTACTTAGCATCCGTTCCACGCTCAAAGCAGACTTACAGTGCACCTCTGCAGAGTTGGTGTTTGGTACCACCCTTCGTCTACCGGGTGAAATTATCTCACCTGAAAGTGGTGAACCAAGTGCTACGGATGTACATTGTTATGCTCAGAACCTCAAGCGCCTTATGCAACGCCTGCAACCAACTCCCACACGCACACAAAACAAGAGAGTGCAAGTAGATGCTAGACTCGATGACTGTACCCACGTTTTTGTGCGTTGCGACGCCGTTCGTAGACCGTTACAACCTCCTTATGATGGACCATTCAAGGTCGTTAGTAGGAAAGAAAATTTTTTTGTTATTGATCGACTTGGCCGTCAAGACACCGTAAGTGTCGACAGACTTAAAAGCGGCCTACATTGAAGAATCTGTACCCCTCACGCCTACACAACCAGCAACTACGCCCGCACCCACACCCCAGCCAAGTGTTATTGTCCAAAATCCTACTAAACCTAGCAGTTCTCCGGATGAGACAGGTAAAGCACCGGTTACACGCTCTGGTCGGCGTGTACACTGGCCTAAACGATACTGTGAATTTGTTAACTAAACGCTTTTAATTACAAGAATAACTCATACCTTCATGTCTTTTCTCACGTTACATTCATTTTTCATGATATTTACTCTTTTGGGTTTCGTTTGTGGGCAGTAGCCACTTTTTCATTTACTAATCCTGTTAGATTTCTTTCTCGTTACAGTGTTCTAACATTTTATTTTTGGCGTTGCACTCGAACCGCTAACTAGACCAGTCCATTCCATTGTCTTATGGTGGCTCCCAACACTCGTGGAATTACAAACCAAACGAACAAAAATATGGACCAGATAAAAAAAATAATAAAATAAATAAAAAAATATAATAAAATGTAAAAACAAAAACTTTCACTGTATAGTTAAAAAGACCGTTAAATATTTTTGCATATAAATACGTCACTTCTATGCTGTACATTTTAATCCGCTCAATCTATTTTCACAGATCTTACTATTTTTACTCGAGTTATGCCATGACGAAACTTATTTATTTTGTGACCCATACTTGTAATTACTTTGCATCACTTTAATTATACAGCTCGCTACATTTTTTTAACAAATGGTGATTGTACTTATTCATAGCTATTGGTTATACACACACTTCTCTGTACCTTGCATAAGTTTTCACAGCGCTAACAATTTCCCTTGTTTATTTCAATTTGCCGTACCACTCCCATGTTACACTAGTTTCCTTGCATTTATTCCGCTTAAGTTTTTTGTTAACACCTTATGCTGATTTTCAAATCTTAACCTCTTCTTCTATTCTTTTCTGTTGCTTTTACTTTATTCCTCCTAATACGCTGGTATATTGATTGCCTTTGGTGTTACTACTAGTTTTGGTTGATGAGGAAGGATGGAGCATTAGTCTAAGAGGAAACTTAGACATAATGAGTCACCTTCCCGTTATATCAACCTGGGGTAACGGAGGTAAACCATCAGACCTCCACATAACCCAGCCCGTAATAGTATGTCGTAAAAAAAAACTAAATAAATAATTAAAATTAAAAAATTAAAAAAAGATAAGTGAAAATAAACGATTTTAAAAAAAAATTGATAAAAATCGCACTAAGGCACCAGCGTTATTCCTTCTTATATTCCATCTTACTCCATTGATCATGTACATAGTGCTCATAAATTGCCTTAATTTTTTTTCCTTCATTCTTTCCTTTCTCAACATATATATTTAAAAAAAAAACAACTATTTTATTGCTATCTTCACATTTCCTTGTTCATTCACTGTTATTGTACGCCACCTTGTTACTTTTATATATCGAAGCTTGCTGTTATCCCACCAACCTTCTAAGGGTGGGGGATAACCTGTAGTGTACATTGTACCTTTGAACTTTTGTTTGAATGAACGCAACCTGACCTTTAATCCCACTTCCACTTTGTATTCCTGATCCTCCTGTACGGTTTCGGTTTCGCTCTCTCGCTGTACTTTCACCTAGTACACTCTTCAAGCTGACCACCGTCTCACCTCCAGATAAGTGTGTACTTTTTATTCCTTATCAAATTCCATATCTCTTTGTGTAAATACAATTCCGGTCCAGTTACACTTGCCATTTCGAGTCTTTTAACTTTGATTCCGTTCTTTAGTACCTGCACGTAGGCAGAGTACTAATTAAGGTCATAAACGGTGAAGGAGTTTTGTAAGAGTGGTTATTGTTAGGTCGAAGTAAATCCTAAGTCCAATTCTTACAAACCCATCCATTTCAAATTACCTCTGACTGTATATACTACTTTAGGTATAAGCATCAAAGTACATCATCGAACCAATAAAAATGAGAATTTGCGCTAGCACATCAGACTATTTTCTGACAGACTTGAGACTGAAAGGTGCAAAAGCCCTAAACAATTTGTCACCCGGTAGATGACGGCCAGGAAGTTGATATTTTGAAATCATTAAAGATAAATAAAGTACAAGTCAGCTTCAGTTCGTTATAAATCGTTGAAGCCACATCTATTAAATAACGAAAATCGTACAAATGCATTCAGAAAGAAATTATTTTTAATCTTTCTTAACTATGGTCAAAAGTTCGCATTAACAAAACTGTATATATTTTAAAAAAGGTCATTTCATAACTTAGAATTTTTGTCTTCACCAATGCTCTTGACATGATAATTTGACCTCCATTAATCATCATTATCCAAATCGCGTGTGCTGTCAATTTCACAAACAAGGACAAGATTTGGATTATGTGTGCATTGTACTTCTCAGCTTCTATTCAACTGTGAGCAGAGTAAAATATTAACGTTCTTCAAGTGAACAGAAAGTAAACAACAATGAATGCAATATGATAACGTAAACGCTACAAATGAAACGAAAAGAAACTGGTTATTGAGAATGAGTTTGGAGGAATTTTCGAAAATGTTTTGTAAATGGCTGACGGCAAAGCATCATTTTTCTGATAATTTACAGGAAGAAGATTACGTAATAGTACACGAGAAAACACTTGGAAGTGATTTTTAACTGAATTAAATGAATTAAGATCAGTAGGAGTGAAATGTGTTGCTGACTTTAGGATGTTGTTGAACTGTTTCGTTATGTATACGGACACAGGCAAACCCTCTAACATCTAATCTTTCCTTTCAATCCGTTGCATGTTCGGTTATGTAATAGTAATGATCTCCTTCAAGCTAATCAATTAAAGTGTGTAAATATTTTTCATTTCAAAGTGAAATTACTTCAAGTTGTTCACGGTTGACAAGACCTGACGAAAAAATTGTGATGATATCATATTATCCCCTTCAATTAGTGTGTTCGTATTTGTTGAAAATAAATTAATTATTTAGCATTATATCTGCACAGCTTATTGAAGTGTGTTTTGAATTCCTTGTTGATTGATAATATACTGGATTGTATTACACGATCGGCGCATAGTACGAATATCTGAGGGTTAACATTATGTTATTTGGTTGATAGTGGTTTGTAGTAAGATTCAGGATGTGCATTTCATCCTATTTGCAACGACAGGTACTAGGTTCTATTTAGAAGGAACATCACCAACTGAGAATACAGGAATATCCATCTGACGACTCCAGAAGTAAGGAATAAATGCGTGTCTTACTGGTCTTACTAGTAGTCAACATTAGTCAAATAACACATATATCTTACTCTCAAGGTGGATTAATCAAATGAAACTTAAGATATGGTCGAAGTTTTCATCATATACTTGGTTAATTATTTATTCGTAAAGTGCCTTATTAACAGTATTGTAAGTGAAATAAAAAGGGAAAGAACGCTTTTCTAGTAATGTAGCAACTGTATGGTAAAATCATTATATTTCATAAATTTAACATTATTTTTATACATACATTAAGTTTTATTATGTTGTGTGAATGAGATCAAACAATGAATATATATATATATATATAAATGTCTTGAAGCCAAACCCGACCTTGACCCTTTTCACTACTCATTTTGTATTAGCTATTTTCTGTTCGGTAATGTCGTTTTCTTTTAGAGCAAGAAGAGAAGAAAACAAACTGACTTTTTTGAATAACTTTTTTCTTATTTAGTTTATAAGACCATTATTATTATTATTAATATTATTATTATTATTATTATTATTACAGAATGAAATAAGGCATTTAATAAGGTGGGCTGGTCTTCACAGTGTAATATGGAGGATACTGTGAGAAGATAAATGAAGGTTCATAGTAAGTTGTGGAACTATTGGATAGCAGAGATCTAGGTAGAATGGAGACGAGCCCCTGAAGCCCCCTATATTTCACCTAAAACGTAAGGAATGAATCATAATAATAACGGGTAAAGGTTAATACAGAATCATTATGAAGTCATTTGGTAAAAACAAGCGAGAATTCCTTGTTTTACATTTTCAAACTTCGTCAGCTGAAAGAAATAATCAAATATTATTCTGTAAATCATCTTCACTGACGCTTCTTGTTCAAACTGATCAGAGTTCCAGAGGGCGGAACTTTTCACTTTGTTCACATTCCGTAATCAGAACTATTTTTTGCCTTGTTACGTAGGTCACACAGATTGGAGCCATGCGTATACAAAATGTGTCAACATGCCTCTTATAAAATGTTGTTTCATCGATCGCGTGGTTCAATCATGTCTGACGGTAACCCATACAATTATCCAGTAGGACGAAACCTAATGGACTGGTAATATCAACCTGTTTAAATTTCAACCAGCCTCAAGTTTCATCAGTTATCGGTTTTCTAGCTTTAATTATGTGGTTGGCCACGGGAAAGAAAGGGACTGCACAAATTTCTTTTGAAAGCAGGATTTGGGTAGTTCATATAAATTCTGGCTGTCTATGCTGTACGTTGAAGCCATGCTCGTAGACAATGCGAAAGGTTGGCTGAAATACGATAAGTACCTTTCAAAGCTTTATTAAAGTCAACTTGGTGTGCAGTATCGACGGGAAGAGCTAGTATTGAGTTGCGTATAGCTTTATTCAAACCTTTGCCAAACCAGTAGGGAAGGTGTGCAGAAATTCAACCATGAACTTGCCTGGTAGTACGCCCAATGTAACCAACTCCGGAAGAGCAGTTAAACTGGTAAATAAATATGAAAGATGCGAAACAAGCCAGTGTTCTTATTTCTTGAACTAAGTATTGGTTGGCGAGTGAATAAACAGCTGCGTTAAAAGTCCTTTAGAAGGCCCTACTCAGATTTGATAAAATCTTGCTATAAGCATCTCCCGTGAATCTCAATCTCAGGAATACTGACTTTTTTCTGAACTGTTTACTTGCTAAGTCCGTGTGTTTAAAAATCTTATCGGATATCCGTTTCTGTTTAGTAGATCACGAATTTTTACCAAGTTCTTCGTTCAGTATTTCATCTGAGTAAATAACTCTAAAACAGTGAACCAAACACCTAAGCAAATTACGTTTGTATTGTGGGGGGACAAAACTCAGGTGGTACGTTGCCCAGTTGACGTAGGTTCCCGATGCAATCGTCTTCATATTGTTCCGTCTGCTCGTTTAGTCATTAGGACACCCCGAAAACAAGATAGAATAATTTTTATGAGTTTATTGTGCAACGGCTGTAAAAGTTGAATAGTATGGTGAACTAGGACTGGTCTACGTGGCAAGCCGCCATTATGAACCCTGGGTAAGTCATATAGTCTAGGAAGCGTCAGTATACCGACATGCTTTATTGTACTGCCTATAAGGAAGAACTGATTGAAAAGGAATAAATTCCTCTCAACTTTTTCGTTTCCCCTAAATGTGTGGAGGGAATTTCCAAATTACGCAGATTTGTTGCTGGATTCTCACCACTATTCACTTTACGTCAATCTTTCCTAATTCTGGGATATCCCTGTGATCATTTCTGCATATGCTAACAAGCTTAACAACAAAGTTTATTCCTTTACATTGATCACGTGGAATTAGTGGTCTTTATGATCAATAACTGAAGTATTTTAATATTTTGCGTACTTATATTAAAATCATATGTGGTTGGAAAGAACCAACGAAGTAAGATAGATGACGTCATCTCATCCTGCTCAGTTCAATAAGTAAAATAATCGTATATAAAATATACTATGAAATGTTTCATTCAGACTTTACGTAATTAAAGGGAAAGCGACTGCACCACTCCAACCCACTTGATCGGTATGGGGCAATAGCATAGACGGTGGAAGATATGGAAATAACAGAGCCGTCTTCGTTCACTCCGCGGTGATCGGTGACTTAATACGGTAAGTAGTGTTGAAACTATGCATAAAGTTCTGGGTATTAAGGAAAAGTCAATAGATAAAGTTATGAAGCCACTTTCACGGAGGTGGCTAAGATTTCGCCCACGCTGAGCTACCGCCTTCCTCAGCGTGAAATACGGGTTTGTAATAACTAGAATGGAAAACAATCAAGGCGAATATAGTTAAGCAAATACAGGAAATCAAAGAAGCTATCAACTACTGTTTCCGGCCAAATA